ATAACTATTTCTGAGTTGAATACTAAACGCCATCTATACGTCAAAAATGGGATTATTTCAACTTTTCTATGATCGTGGTCCCCATGATCCCTTAGCAGCCTCTAAAGTGTGTGTGCCACCACACCTATACCTCAAGAGCCCATATGTATATTGTTTTTACTTGTGATGACAACTTTTTGAACGAAATCAAATGGCTCCCAACGTATTATAACATACGCCATCTATACCCTTATATTTGAATTATTCCTTATTTTCTAGAGCAGCATATATTTTTTTTCATAAGGAACAAATGATGGTGCAATTTCTGCCACCTTGGAGAAAAATTATCTTGTTTCGTTTAGTTCGATTAGTTTTCTATGGTAAATAAAAAATTATAAGGAAATGTAAGAGAAATATTTGAATTCTGTATTTTTGTTTGAAAATTAAAAGAAAAACTTGTTCATTGTATTTCTACAAAGCCTAAAATAGCTTCCACTTAATATGCTCCAAGCAAGTATGTGCGTTACGTGTTTTGTTCGAAATTCAAGTTTTTCGTCACACATGGTAGCTTCAGTGGTAGTAAAATCATAAATGTGTCCCTTCGTCTGTTACTGATATAAAATTCTCAAGTTACCGCTGCATTAGAATGGAAAGTATTGAAGAAAAACATTGTTGATATTTGCTTTACGAACATTATATGCCAAGTGGCGCCCAAAGTATTGGTACAAACGCCATCTATATATCTAAATATTTTATTGTTTCATATTTATGTTTTAGCAGCATCTTTCGATTGCTAGTGTAGGGAACATAATTTGATATGGAATATTTCTGACTCATAGCCCTAAAAGCTGAAAACATTTACAAAATCAAAAAAAAGTATGCATACAATTCCAAGTGGCGCCCACCGTTTTATAACTAACGTCATCTATTCCTCAGTATTTGTATTATTTCTTAAACAGCATCCTGTTTTTCCTACAAAAAGAAACAATTATTCGATGGGTGAAATTCCCCTCTCCTTGTCCTTAAGCAGAAAAAGATTCAGGAAATTTTTCCTTTTTCTAAAGTTAAATTGAAATCAACCTTCGTCCGGCACTGATATTGTCTTCTCAAATGGACCGTGTATTTGAGTTGGTATTATTATAGAGAAATCTTGTTGTTATCTGCTTTAATAAATAAACGCCATCTATGTGTTAATACTTTTTGTTCCTTAGTTTCTATAACAGCATCTTTTGGTTAATAAAGTAATGTAGAGTGTGCCAAGTGGCGCCCAACGTATTTTAACAAACATCTTCTACACTGCGCATTTGGGTCATTAGAATAAAAATATATTGTTTTTATCTTACCAACTTTACCAATTTTTATGGACGAAAGCAAGTGGCTCCCAACGCGTTATTACATTTACTTTGGTAATGTTCTGAGCAAAATCGTTTGGTTGATAGAGGTAGCGAAAATATATTTCAATGGTGCAATTTCTAAAATTAAAATTTGCCAGAATTAAATTGAAATCAATCAAAATACATTTCCTTATAATTCATTTGCACATTTGCCATAAAAACCTACTCAGAAAATCGTTATTTGAATTTCTTCGAAACTTAAAATGTTTTCCACTTAATACGCTTTAAGACAGGGAATTTTGAAACAAGTATGTACTTATAGGTGCTTTTTGTTTTTTTTTTTTTTTTTTGTTTTTGCAAAATCAAGTTTTTCGTCATCGACAATAATTTAAGTGGTATGAAAAATCATAAATAAATTTTACCCCTCCCTGTCCATCACTGATATCTTCTCAAGTGGCCGGTGCCGGTGCCGGTGCATTTGGGTTAACATTATTATATTTAAAACATTGTTGTCTTATCTGCTTTGCCAACTTATTTTAAACAAAAATAAATTCAAACATAGACGATCACAAATGTCAGTTGTAGAGGCGCTTTACACAGTTCAACAGATGTTATCTGGCAGTTTTCTCTTCTTGGGGTTTGTTTATAAATGTAAAGATTATAAAAAAAAAGTTGATGTGTTACCAAGTGACTGCATAATGCGTTTAAGATACACGTGTGAAGGTCCTATTATTTTTTTAGAATTTAGAGCAATGTTATTTTCAATAGATGGCGGTAAAGCTTGACAGGGCCTTAGAAGTTTATGTGGGTGTTTATTATCGTTTTTTTTATTTTGTGATAAGTGTCAAGCCATTTTTGACAGTGATTTGAAATGCTTATTGCATTTTTCAATGAAGTGGGTAATATTTTAACCCTGGGGTATTAAGTTCTTGACAATGCAGTCTTTCTCTGCCCTCATTAGATAAGTCAAGTTAGTTCACTGGAATTATTTTATCTTCAAGTTACCAAAAGTCTAAAACAGATCCCTGACTGTATTCTTTTTCCATGAAGTGTGAATAACAAGTTAAAAAGTATCTGGCGGTTTTGCCGACAGATATATACCCTCAGCCAATGTTTAATTATTTTAATATATTTTGATTGAGTTATGATTATTCAAATTGCTGACCCTCTATGAGGAGTAGGTTCCGAAAGAATTAGCCAATATTGTCCATTTCGTATCGAACCTAAATAAATATGACATAAATATTGTGTCGTACCAAGTTTGGACTATATCGACTAGTTCCTTCACTTTATATGAGATATGTGATAATTTTTAGAAAATATTAGAATTCGCGCGATCTACCACATATAGTCGACCGAATTATTCCGTTCTCATACTTCATCTAATACAGAAAAAATATTAGTATGGGCAAAATTACAAGGAAATCGAATCTTTATATCCAATTTTCCAGATTTCTGGTTGACAGAAATATTTGGATTTGTGGGGGAAGTACCAGAAGGAGTGGACCGATATTGCCCATCTCCGATATCGGTATAAGTTAGATAATATTACGATGTACCAAGTTTGGAGCAAATCGGTTACTCCCTTCCAGACTTATCGTGCGCACCAACCAGACAGACGGACGGATATCAGTAGATCGAATCCAACTGTCTTGAAACGGATTTGGTCCAAAGAGACCTACAGTCTAAAACCGTTATGCGATGAGGCACGTTATAGCCATGTTAAATGATATACAGTGTGCGATAAAAACATGCAACAAAGTCATTCGACATAATTTTTACATTTTTTTTAAACTTCATTGAGTGAAAGCAAAAAATGTCGGAAATAGCATCACATTTTAGAATAAGTTTAGATTTGTTCCAATTGGTCACCTTTGGCACGAATTATGGCCTTCAAACGTCCAATGAAACCGTCATAAGCTACCCAAATGCTGCTATGCGGTATTTTCGCCCATTCCCGGCGAAGCGCTTGCTCTTGAGGTGATTGACACTTTGGTATTTTTTAGTGCCAACCTTGCTTTCCAAAATACTCCAGACACAATAGTCCAACGGTTTGGTATGAGGAGATTTTGGTGGTCATTGTGCGCTGGAAATAAAGCGAGAAACCTTATTTTGTAACCTTTCTTGGGTGGTGCGTGCTGAGTGCGATGGTGTTGAGTCCTGTTTGGAATGTCCAAGATCTGCCGCCAAAATGTGTGGGTGCCCAATAAACCCTCTAGAATATTTTCGCGATAATATTCGGCATTTCTTCTGATGCCATGGTTGATTAATACGAGCAGAGAGCGACCATCGACTGTTATGGCGGCCACGCCATCGCCATGGCCGGCACTTGAGTTCTGGTGGCCAACCGAAGATGCACATTTTCAGCTGACCTCTTTGACAAGTAAACACTATCATTTTGTTTGCTTACAAACTGCTGGACAACGAATGTTTTCTCATCGGAGAAAACCAAATTCGGCAGTTCTGCTGCAACTTTCGGCCAAGCGAAGCAACTCTTTAGCTCTTTTGAGTCTATTTTCTTTCTCTTGCGGTGTAAGCTCTTGCATTTTTTTTTTTTTTTTGAAATATCAATGGCTTTATCCCGAGCTCTCGTTTCAATATTTGCCGAATGGAATATGTTCAGCTCACAAGCCATTTTTCGGCCACAGCGATGCGGGTTTCGATCAAGTGGCTTCTTTACTTTTCGAACTATTTCTGCTGATGTTGCTGTTTTCTTCCGTCCACCACCCAAAAAAACCTAAAATCGGATAAAGATATATATGGGAGCTATATCCTAGTCTGATCCGCTCTTGACAAAATTTGACAAAGGTATTTTTGAGCTCCATAAGTTACCTGGTACCACATATTATTCTTGTGGAGTGTATATTGCGAATGTGAGGGACTAAAACCCCAAATCGGGTGAAACATATATATTGGAGCTTTAGCTATATCTGAACCTATTGCGGATATTAGCCATTTGGTGCACAATAAATCTGATATCGGATAATGATATATATGGAAGCTATTTATAAAATTTGAAACGGTCAGGACAACATTGTAGGCACTTATTTCTGAGCTGTATCTGATATTTGCTGCCAAATATCTTTCTTGTGGAGAGCATATTACGAATGTAAGGGACCTTAAACCCCAAATCGGATGAAACATATATATGGAAGCTATAGCTATATCTGAACCGATTCTCTCCAAATTTGATGTACTTGCTTCTAGTCTGATTGCGATCTTATGTGCAAAAATCCAGGTCATTTGTACTGATATTGGCCTTTTGTTGCACAATTAACCCGAAATCGGTTGAAGATATATATCGGAGCTATATCTTAATTTCAACCGATTCTCGCCAATTTCAATAGGGTTCGTCCTTGGGCCAAACAAACATTGTTTGGAAAATTTCATCTCAATCGGATAATAAATGCGACCTGCACTTTCTTCACAAAAATACGGACGACTCAGAAAGTGACTCTATGAAAGATCCTCAAAAGTAACTATGGGTATATCTCGCTTCATTCTCCCTGTTACAAACAAATACACAAAGACATTATACACTTACGCATACCCTTATGTGGTGTAGGGTATAATTATATTATAATTATATAATTATGTTATAATTATATAATAATTTATATTTTTATAAATAACTTAATATATATCCCGCTTAATAACTCCCATCTATTTTTTACCACTTTCTTTCAGGCGAAGGTCACGATCATGACCATGATGGCTGTCCTGCCGCAAGTTTAGAGACAACAACTACAACCCTATTGGACTTGACAACAAAATTCTCAGCATAGAAATATGTTGCCAGAGATTGGCTAATTTAGCTACGATTATTTAGTGTGTATTTATATATATAACATGAGTAACATGTGATATTTTATTATTATTTTTTTAGTTATAAGTAATGAGAGAAAAAAGTGTAGAAGAAAAAAGAAAGAAAAAAAAAAAACAATTGTAAAAATGAATAAAAAACAACAACAAATAGAGTAAAAAATGAGAGAAAAAATAAAAAAAGTATAGTATTACTAATCTATATCCAAATCGTTTTTTTATGTCTGGTAATGCAAGTGCTCGACTGTGTTTAATTTCAAAATAAATGTGAAAACCGCCGCGAATGACTTCATCAAAATGGGAGGGAAAATAAAAATTCCCAAATGCATCTATGACAAAATATTCATTACAATATAATCGAGAGAGAAAAGAGGAGGAACAAAATTAACCGCAAAAACAACAACAAATACAAAAAAAATCCGCAGTAAAACTGGAAGACTTGAAAAATTCCCCGCAAAGAAATTGAATTAGAAGTAGTCAATCGCCAAACGGGGGAAGTACCAACAATTAGCATAAAAAGTTATGAGTCCACGCCTTGAAGAACGCTGCTGCACTATACCCCATAATACCAAATACTAAAAAAAAACAAAATTAAATAATTTATAAAATATTAAATAAACAAATTAAAAAGTATCAATCGGTTTTGCCGACAGATGTACATCCTCAGTCAATATTCAATTATTTAAATCTATTTTGACTTCTGTTATGATTACTCAAATTGTTGACCCTCTATGGAGTAGATTCCGAAGGAATGGGCCAATATTATCCATTTCGTATCATATAATTGTTGCAACGTGCCAATTTTGGGCCTTATCCTTCACCTTATATGAGCTATAAATGAAAATTTTAGGAAAAGTTAAAATGTGCGTGAGGTACCAGATAAAGTCGACAGAATCATTCCATTTTCATGCTTCATTTAATACAGTTAAAAATATTGGTATGGGCAAAATTACAAGAAAATCGAATATTTACAGGGTGAGTTGAAAAAACCGCAAAGAGCTTCAGATTGCTCTAATTTCTAAGCCCCTCGTCCGACAGCTGTTAAAATTATTCCAGTGATAGCTCATTATATGGTTTACAAGTGTACAAAAACATTTTGGTGAGAATTTTCCAGAAAAAAAGTTATCCGTGATGGAATTCAAGCGTGATAGTGTGATTTCTTTATATTTGGCTGGAAAACCACAAGTGGCTATCTTTAGAGCACTCCAGCATTCAAATGTGAATAAATCTTTTGGGTCTCGCGTACCATCGCTCGTTACCGTGATACTGGTAGCGTAGCCCGACGTTAAGGAAGTGGACGAAAGAAAACCGCAACATCAGCAGAAATGGTTCGAAAAGTAAAGAAACGACTTGATCGAACACCCCGCGTCGCAGTGCCCGAAAAATGGCTCGTAAGCTGAACATATCGCAATATTTCATTCGGCAAATATTGAAAAATGAGCTCGGGGTAAAGCCATATAATTTCCAAAAAAAGCAAGAACATACCACGCAACAGAAAGAAAATAGACTCAAAAGAGCTAAAGAGTTGCTTCGTTTGGCCGAAAGTGATGAACTGCCGAATTTTGTTTTCTCCGATGAGAAAACATTCGTTGTCTTTGTAAAAAAACATAGTGTTTGTAAAAAAACATAGTGATAGTGTTTACTAGCCAAAGAGGTCAGCTGAAAATATGCACCTTCGGTTGGCCACCAGAACTCAAGCGCCGGCCATGATGATGGTGTGGGCCGCCATAACAGCCGATGGTCACTCTCCGCTCGTATTAATCGACCGTGGCAACAGAATAAATGCCGAATATTATCGCGAAAATATTCTGGAGGATGTATTAAAGCATTGGGCACGCAAACATTTTGGTCGCAGTCCTTGGACATTGCAACAGGAATCAGCACCATCGCAATCAGCACGCGCCACCCAATAATGGTTTCAAAATGAGGTTCCTCGCTTCATTTCCAGCGTACAATGGCCACCATAATCTCCGGATACCTATCCGTTGGACTATCGCCACCCTATTGTGTCTGGAGTGTTTTGAAAAGCAAGGTTGGCACTAAAAAATAGCAAAATGTCGATCACCTCAAGCAAGCGCTTCGCCGGAAATGGGCCAAAATACCGCAGAGCAACATTCGGGCAGTGTGTGACGGCTGTTGAAGGCCATAATTTGTGCCAAAGCTGACCAATTCGAACAAATCTAAAGATATTCTAAAATTTTATGTTATTTCCGACATTTTTTGCTTTCATTCAATAACTTAAAAAATGTAAAAATCATGAAGTTTGAGTTTGTTCCCGTTTTTTATCTCACCCTGTATATGTGAAGTTTGAAGAGATTTAGATACTTATTTCGCTATCTTTGAGGGTTTTGTTTTTAAAAATCTCGAACCCTATGTGGGGAAGGTGCCAAGAAAAATGATCCGACCTTCACCATCTTTATAAGTGATTTTGCGTTGATGAAAATATTGAGATGTACCAAGTCTGAATGTTAACATCGCGTTTTATGAGCTTCATGTACATTCGAAATATTGACCCTTTGTGGGGGGCCGATATATTCCATCTTCGCACCAGATCATGGTTTAATAAAAATATTGTGGTGCGTGAAATATGAAGGCAATCGAACTCTTAGTCACATTTTATAAGTGTTGTAATTATTCAAAACTTTGACCCTTTGTAGGGGGAGGTACCTGATGGAGTGGACCGATATTGTCCATTTTCGCACCTAAACTAGCACTGATGCAATTATAAGGATTTGCAAATGCAGGTTTTGGAACAAAATCGGATTATCCTTTCTCTTTCTGTGCAGTAAATATTTTTTTTTTTTTTTGAAAAATTTGACCTTTTTTGGGGTAGGTACCAGAAGGAATTGACCGATATTGCCCATTTCCGAACTCGATCTAAATGTGATAATAATATGACGATGTACCATGTTTGGACCAAATCGGATACTCCCTTCGAGAGTTACCGCTCGGATCATCCAGCCAGACAGACGGACGAACACCTCTAGATCTACTCTAAATGTCCTGAGAGATTTAGGATCAAAACCCATCGATGAGGCACGTTTTAGCCGTATCAAATGATATATACCTATCACCTTTTAACAGACTTTCCTATATGTAGGCATGCTGCGAGTTGCTCATCAAAGAACAATTGAACTCCATTCTTGTAACCAAATCTATTAGGCTTTCCAGAGTCTTTAGAAGAAATGATGATACAGTGATTGGTATAAGGTCTTTCGTGGTTGTTTGACTTAGTTTGCTAGCTTTAGGTATATAGGTCACTGTGGCCTCTCCCTCTCCATAGACGATGTGTATATGATTGATACAGACAGGCTTTATAGATCGATTCCGGGATGTCGTATGAAAGTAATGATGAGTTCTGTTACATCACGGCTGAAAGGTATCAATGGCCCATATAAGTTATTTTCCCCCTTTCCCCCGGACTTGAGAGGAATCGAATTGCTCCCGATGTCTCTACTGTTGAGAATATGTATTCTGACTTGGTTTCCTTTGAAAGTACCTTGCAAAACCTGGCTACTGCGTTGACTCCTTCAAAGTCCTCACAGAAATACATATACAAGTGAGAATGGATTCCGTAACATCGCTGGTATAAGGTCATACGGTCTCACCGATTTATACCGCTAAAATATATGAATCGGCAACTTGATTTAATTTTTGTTTTTTTTAGGAGATTGGTATGCCCCTCTGACCTGAGAGGAATATCTTTACAATTGGGAAGACGTGTTCTTGCCGGGAGGCCTAGAATGTCAGGACGTGTGTCTGTTCATACGCCTTTCGTAGAACCTAACTCAATTCTAACATGATGGAAACTCCCAGGCCTGGGAGTATGAATAATTTTTTGTTAAAAAATATGAATTTTGCCCACTGTGCAGTAAAACAAATTTTAGCTAAACATAATAACATCGCCGAATAGAAGCAATAAAATGTTGATATTAATTTTTTATCGGCAACAGCAGCAACGTTGATCCGTATTGAAACCAAACCACAATCTAAGCGTTCGATTCGATTGCCTAGAAGCAACGATGAGTCAGCCTGTCTGTCGTCGCTCTATCAAACACACATCATTCACTAACATTGTTTTTTTTCTTTGGTATTAACAAAAAATATTAATTAATTTATGTCATTTTTGTTTTTGTTGCATGTTTGTTTGTTTGTTTGTGTCGATCTAATGAATTGCATTTAAAGTCTGAGAAAGTTGTAGTTGGTTTTGCCGTAGAAAAATAAAATGTAAATATTATTCATATTTTTGTTAAACCCTGGCGATGTGGATTGAACCATTTACATTTGCCATGAAGTCGTGACACAAGGCGGGAACATAGTTTGGCTTTGGTCTTGACGAAGTTATTCCCCACATACCATCATCGAGCCATTGAAAACAAGTTTAGAGTCAACAACAATAAAAAACATATTTTATTACTTGGAATTTGTCTTGGGAATTCTTGTTTCTGCATCATTCGCAGTAGCAGCAGCATCAGCGCTAGACCGATCAACCGACTACCGACCGACCGGTCGACCGCAACATCAGTTGATCTTGATAACAATTTATGGATGCAGTAACGCTTAGAAGAGAGAAACAAAATAATATCGCCTGCATTACTTGTTGCGGATGGTAAGTGTGGAGCGTAGCTATACCAAAACAGGTTTTCTTTAAATTGACTGTGTGGTTGTAAGAGAGCTGCAAGAAATAAGCAAGGAACTGTTGGAATGGAATCAGATGCACCCTACTCTAAATGAAAATAATATAAAAGGTATCATTCGGTTTTGCCGGCAGATATATACCTTCAGCCAATTTATTCGATTATTTAAAGAGATTTTGCCTTATGTTATGATTATTCAAATTAGAGGGTCAACTATGGAATAGTTTCCGAAAGAATAGGCCAATATTGTCGATTCCGCATTGGACCTCAATAAATATGATATAAATATTGCGAAGTGTCAGGTTTGGACTATTTGATAATTTTTTGAAGCTATTAAAATGTGCGAGTGGTACCAGATATAGTCGACCGAAGTATTCCATTTTCATGCTTCATCTAATACAGTTAAAAATATTGGTAT